GTATTTCACTATTGGTATATTCATATATGAACATAGGACAGTTATGTCCAATTCATTCTACTGTCTTTTCCTATGTTCATATATGAATACAACAACAGTGAAACTCCACATCAGATAAAAATTGAGTATAGGAATTCCAAGTCCACTGAGGTAAAGAACAAAAGGAATTCAGAAACAACCAGCTTTCAACCAAACAAAAAAGATCATAAGAGAAAAAAGAAATCACTGCTGATTTAAAAGCAGAGAGATACACATCTCATCATTTTTGTACCATCAATAAAAATAAATCTGAAACCAAAGGCCAGCCTAGCATTCTACTTCATCTTTGCAGAGAAGATAAATGACATAGCCAGTAACATCTAAAATTTAATTACTGAAAGATCTCCAACAGTTCATGGTTAAGCCAAACTCAAAGCAGAAATAATGCATTTGGAGACAAGAAATTAGTATTAAATAGAAAGACTTTGGCAACATAATTAAAGTGGAAATTTAGAGAAGAGTTTTGAAAAATCCACAGCTAAATTGATATCAGCTATTAAAAAATTAAGTGACAGTTGAATGGATTATGAAGAAAAATGATCTATAGGTCAGAAGGGTTTAGAACAGCAAGGGAGACTAATTCAGTTGCAGTTAAGAGTTTCATACTTAAGAGACTGAAAATAATCAGAGTTAGCAGAATAATGTTTACTTAGCTAGCGTTATTAAGGAACCTTGGATATAAATAGTGAAAAAGAGAAGAACCTTAGTTCTGAATAAGTGAAGTTAAGCCACTTTTTTTTAAAAGGTTCCCCTAGTTATTTTATGTATATATACAATAAGCATATGTTAGTTTCTCATAAATAATTAACCCACCTTAAACAAATTCATAGGTCTATACATTTCATTCTGAGATGAAAAAAAGTTGACATTTTATATAGAGTGGTTTTAACTAAATACTTTGAGAGTTTTGCATTAATTTCTCCGAGTTATTTGAAAGACCTTGCCTTAGTCTTATAAGCCTTTTATATAAAACATATTTTCTTCAATCGTCTTAAAATTAAAACTATAAAGAAAATCTAAATATAACCCTAAAGGGCTATAATTTAAGAGATATGAATCACTTTGTAGACTAATTCTAACAAATATCCCTAAAAACTTGCCTGTAAAGTAATTTCTATATTTAAAGTCTCAAGTCACAGGAGTATTCCAATTAGAAGAAACTGGATAATAATTGATGCCTAAAATAATAAAATTTTTAATTACATTGCTTTATAATATAAAGATCAATGTAAACAAAATAAGTACATAAGAGTAATTACAGTGATTTATTTAATTATTAGTGTACTGAGGATTGAACTCAGGGCTTTGCACATGCTAAGCATGAGCTCTACCACTGAGTTACACCCGCAGCCCTTCTTATTCTGTGATTGTTTTGATATGTAGTTTTTTTTAATGGTATGAAGAAAAGTAACACAATGGTTTAATCAGAATGCGATAAGAATAACTTACAGTTCTCTCTGACTAAAGGGATCCTGGTTTTTTTTTTCTTTTTTAATGGATTTATAAGCCTTAAAAAAAGAACAAGCTTATATGAACAAAAAAGATGGTAGAAATGAATTTGCAATGGTTCGAAATTCAATATATGAACAACTTTAGAAGCACATCTATTAGAACTCATAAAATGAAGTGTAAATGATAACAGGAAGTTTATATACTGAAACAAACAGCCAAAGAGACTGAAAAATGTAGTCACAGGCTCTTCTGGCTCTGATTCATTGCCTCTGTTCTGAATTTCGTCTCTCAGGATTTTGTAAGCACTGAGTTAAACACAGACCCTACCAACTTTTTGGTCTTCTCCATCTTATTGCCTATTGAGTCTTGGGTTAACAAGCTCTTCATCATTAGGACCAAAATACCTGATATAAACAACTTAAAGGAGGAAGGCTTTATTTTAGCTCACAGTTTCAGAGGTTTCAGCTCTTGCTTAGCTGGCTCTAAGGCAGCTCTGCTTTGAAGCAGACAGACAGACAGACAGAAAGGAAGGAAACAGGAATGAGATATACACATCCCCAGTGACTTACCTCCTCCAACAGAGCCTCACCTACCTTCAGTTTCCACAACTTCCCAGGTGTCCATTCAGCATTTAACAGATCAATGCCCTGATGAATGGTTGACCACATGATTCAACCACTTTCCAAAAGCCCTGAACATTGCTGCAATGAGGACCGAATCTTCAGCACATGAGTCCTTGGGGAATATTTCATACCCAAGCCATAACAACTCTTTAAGATAACTCATGAGTTTAATCCATGAGTAGCCTGAGCCTCACAGATCTACATCACCCCCCAGAGAGAAACCCACCATTTTCACCGAGTCAGCCAAAGTTTCCCACTGATGGAATGGCATCGATATCTGGCTCCTTCTCCAATGGTCATAGCGGGCTCGACTCTCTTCATTGGTCAGAATCTCTTTTGCCTTCTGCAGTTTCTGAAAAGTCTCCACTGGAAAACAAATCAAGAAATGAGAATCTCTTTCTTGGAAGGGCTAGTTTAAAATTCAAACCATCAGAAGATCTTTCTAGAATCATTGCTCTGCCATTTACTAGTTATATGATCTAAGGCTAGTTTACGTAGTTCAGCTTTAGTTTCCTCGTTTATAAAGTGTATCATAAAGACAAGGGAGATAATGTATATAAAATGCCTGACACACAGCTTATCCACTGTCTTTACATGTTCCAGGAACTGTCTGAGGTGAGGACAACACAGTTGTGAATAACAGACAGTATTAGCAGAAGAGACAGAAATTCACAAACATTGGGAAAATAGAATTTTGTCTACTAGGATGTTAGTGGGAAGTAGTGACCAAGCAACAGGGACAGTATGAATGAAGGTTTAAGGCAGGAAGAAACATGGTAATGATAATTTAGAGAAAGTTGAAATTGTCAATGAGGCTAAAGGACACAGAGCCAGGAGAAGAACAGTGAGGGATGGGGTCGTCAAGCACTGAACAAAAGCCTAGTCATCCTGAGCCTTCAATGTCATGCTAAGGATTCTAGTTTTGTGTTTGTTTGTTTTTGTGTTTCATTTTGTTTTGTCATCAGAGCAATGGAAAACTATTGGGAAGTTTTGAGTACAGTATATAATGTTGTAGGTGCTCAGTAAGTAGTAGCTTTGTCACTGACCTGTGTGACTAGATGGCATGCAAGAGAAACGTTTCATGGCCCTGTTGGAAATACTTCCAAAGTCTCTATTGCCCCCACTACCGCTACTCTATCCCCGTAAAGTTAAAACTTCACATAGAGCAGGACACAAAACAAGCTTGATATACAAAAATCAACTGTTTCTACACATTAGCAATGAACAATCTGAAAAAAAATTAAGGAAACAATTCCATTTTATAACAGCATCGAAAAGAATAAAAACACTCAGAAAAATTTTTAACAAAAGAAGTGCAGAAACATACTGAAAACAACACAATCTGTTGAAGGAAATTAAAGAAGATCCAAATAAAAGGAAAGATACCCCATGGGGGGCTGGGGATGTGGCTCAAGCTGTAGCGCGCTCGCCTGGCATGTGTGCGGCCCGGGTTGGATCCTCAACACCACATACAAACAAAGATGCTGTGTCTGCCGAAAACTAAAAAATAAATATTAAAATTCTCTCTCTCTCTCTCTCTCTCTCTCTCTCTCTCTCTCTCTCTCTCACTCTCTCTCTCTCTCTCTTAAAAAAAAAAAAAAAAAAGATACCCCATGTTCCTGAATTGGAAGATTTGATATTGCCAAAGTGGTAATATTCCCCAAATTGATCTTCAGATTCAACAACTTCTATTGAAATCCCATTTACTTTTTGTACAGAAATTGACAAACTAGTATTAAAATCTTAAAATATGTAAAATGTAAGAAACTCAGAATAGCTCCAACAATCTTGAAAAATAAGAACAAAGTTGGAGGACTCATACTTCTTAATTTCAAAATTTCCTCAAAGAACGGTAATGAGAAAAGAATTATTGTGACTTGAGGATAGACATGTAGATAAATGCAATAGAATTGAGAATCCAGAAATAAAACCTAACATATAGTCAATTGGGTTTTTTTAATATTTATTTTTTAGTTGTAGTTGGACACAATGCCCTTATTTTATTTATTTATTTTTATGTGGTGCTAAGAGTCAAACCCAGGCCCTCAAATGTGCTAGGCAAGCACCCTACCACTGAACCACAATCCCAGCCCCCAGTCAATTGATTTTTGACAAGAGTACCAAGACAATTCAGTTGGGAAAGAACAGTCTTCTCAGCAAATGGTTCTGAACAACTAGATATCCACATAAAAAACTGAATTTGCATCCTTATTAAAACCATATATAAATTTTTTGAACTTAAAATGGATTACAGATTGAAAAGTAAGAGTTAACACTATACAACTCTTAAGAAAATCCCTAGGAGTAAATTTTGTGACCTTAGATTAGGCATGGCTCCTTACAAATGACACCAAAAGCCTAAGCAACAATAAAAACAACAATGACAAAAATAAATTAAGTGAATTACATCAAAATTAAAACTGTGTGCTTCAAAGAGTACCATCAATGCTGGATGTGGGGATATATGCCGACAATCCTAGCTACTGGAGAGGCTAGGTAGGATACCAAGTTCAAAGCCACCCTGGGCAACTTAGTGAGACCCTGTCTAAAAAAAAAAAAATGAATAGGAATAGCACAGTGATAGAGCATTTGCCTAGCATGTACAATAACTCAGGTTCAATCCCAGCACAAGGAAAAAGAGTATCATCAATAAAGTAAAAAGACAACCCATAGAATAGGAAAAAATATTGGCAAATCATAGATCTGATATGGTACTTATATCTAAAATTTGTAAAGAACTCTTACAACTCATTAATAAGATGACTCAATAACAAAATGGGTAAAAGGTTTAGACATTTCTTCAAATAAGATACACAAATAGCCAATAAACATATGAAAAGACACTCAGCATCAATTTCAAGAATATAGAAATCAAAACCACAGTACAGTAGCACTTTACACCTATCAGGATGGCTAAAATAGAATGATGATAACAACTGGCAAGCATCCTACCACTGAACAGGATAGGATATAAAGAAATAGGAACACTCATACATGGCAGACTGGAATTCAAAATGGTGTAGCAACTTTGAAAATCAGTTTCTCAATTCCTCAAAATGTTAAGCAGATTCACCATATAACCCAACAATTTAAAACCACCTATATATGGTGAGAAATTAAAGCATTCATCCATGCAAATACTGGCTTATGATAGCAGCATTATTCATAATGGCCAAAAGGTAGAACATCCCAAATGTTTATTAACTGACAAATCGATAAGCAAAATGTGGTATATCTGGGCTGGGGATATAGCTCAGTTGGTAGAGTGCTTGCCTCACATGCACAAAGCTAAGGGTTCAATCCCCAGCACCATAACACACACATAAAAAAAAATGGTATATCTACATAAATAATATTAAGGAATTATCATTCATCTATTAAAAAAAGAAATGAAATAATTGATATGTGCTACAACATGGATAAATAAATGTAGGAAACCAATCACAAAAGACTACATATTGTATGATTCTTATTTATATGAAATATTCAAAATAAAGTGGATTAGTAGCTACTAGGAATGGGAAGTGACTGCTTCCCTCCAAGTATGAGGTTTCTTCTTGTGATGAAATGTTCTGAAATTAGACAGTAGCAATGGTCGCATAACATTGAATATGCTAAAAACCACTGAAACGTACCTTAAAAGGTGGATTTATAGTATGTGAATTATATCTGTGGTATACAATTATTTGTGTTGCTTAAAATATATATATTTTTTAAGCAACACAAATAAAACCTTTGTGTGTATATGTGTGTGTGTGTGTGTGTATATAAATGGAAAGATACCCCATGTTATACACACACACACACATACACACAAAGGATCTCACAAAAATAGAAGGGAGACAATAGAGTAGAGAAAGAGGACTGAGAAGGAGGGAAAAGGGGAAGGGATGGGGAAGTACTGGGGAATGAAATCTACTAAATTACGCTGTGTTTATGTATGAATATACCACAATAAATCCCACTTACATACATGATTATAATGCACTGATTAAAATAATAATAAACAAAAAGGAAATCAGTAAAGTAGAGCAAACAGATCAAGGGTAGGGAGGAAGGGAGGAGAAGGGAAGGCACTGGGAAATACGACTGATCAAAATATGTTACGTGCAGAGACAAATACAGCATCATGAATCTCCTATTATATACAATTATATACATCAATAAAAATAATAATTAAAAATTATCTGTAGAGGTGATGAAAGTTTTGTATCCTGATTATGATGCTGATTACATGATTCTATATAGATGTTAAAACTAATAAAACTGTGTGCCAAAAAGTCAATTTTACTGTATGAAAATTTTTTAAATGAAATTATTCTAAAACTATCTGAAACCACACAAGACAATTTGTGAAAGGGCCAAACATAAAATTATAAATAGAAAACATTATCATGACCACAATTATCATTTATAAGCTTCTACTCTGTGTGAGACCCTTTGCTGGGCCTAGCATGGTCACAGTTTTCCATTAAAAAAAACTTTATGAGTTTGATATTATTATGATTATCCCCATCTTACAGAATCTAAGGCTACAAGAGATTAAGGTAACTTGTTCCAAGTCCCAAAGTTTCAAACAATGGAGCCATGGTTCAAACCCAAGCATGCCAGGCTTCTAGCCTGTGCTCTCCAGGCCACACTTGATCACCTTTCTGCTCCTTCCGTTTTCCTGCAATATTTTTTGTCCTCTGATCCCCAAATTCTTCTTCAATCCCATCATTCATTAATAATACTGAGACTGTGGAGCTGGAGATGTAATTTAGTGGTAGGGCGTGTGTTAGCATGCGTAAGTACCTGCACTCTATCCCTAGCACCATGGGAAAACTGGTTTTGTATATGTGGAAGAATAAGATTAGATCCCTATCCTTCATCCTGCACAAAAGTCAACTCAAAATGGGTGAAAGACCTAGGAATTAGACCAGAAACTTTGCATCTCCTAGAAGGAAATATACGGACAACACTCCAACATACAGTTTCATGCAATGGCTTCCTCAATGGTACTACTAAAGCTCAGAAAATAATACTAAGAATTGACAAATGGGATGGCATCAAATTAAAAAGCTTCTGCACAGCAAACGAAACAATTAAGAATATGCAGGAAGTGGGGCACGGTGGTGCACACCTGTAATCCCAGCAGCTCCAGAGGCTGAGCTAGGAGGATCACAAGTTCAAAACCAGCACTGAGATGCTAAGCAACTCAGTGAGACTCTGTCTCTAAATAAAATACAAAAATAGGACTGGTCAAGTGCCCCTGAGTTCAATCCCTGGTATAAAAAAAAAAAAAGGAAAAAAAAGAAAAGAAAAAAGAATATGAAGATATGAAGAGATAACCTACAGAGTGCCAGAAAATTTTGCTACCTACTCTT